GGGTTGCAAATGCGCAATATATATTCAAATATTTTCGCAGAAAAATATCATCCAACTGTTAAGAAAAGTGATTACTCAGTTCACTTTCCTTCTTTTAAGCAATGTTTATATTCAACGAAGAATATTTTCTTGACAATAATCTTGGAATATACTTGAAATATTGCGAGTTTTAGAAATACTCACATCACATCACATTTTAGAAATGCACTCAAAAGAGAAGAATTAGTTTTCTTTACAAAAATACTATGAAATTTCATCGGAAAAAAAGTTAGTTCGATTCTAACAAGTAAACCGAATTTTTGTTTTAATTTAATATTCTTGATCGAGATGCTACACTTATTAGAAGTTACTTAAATTTAGTATATATTTTGGAAAAAATTTGATGCTTATAACGAACTTATGATAGATTTGTGGAAATTTACGAAGTGTTTAGAACAAATAACATTTATTTGAATGAAGTATGTATCTTTCTGTGTGTGCACGATGACAACATGAGCAAACCGCACATAAACTTTCAGACTCCAGTTTAACTAACAGACTGTCTACTGTCTGTCTGTCTATTTGTTTGTTGGAGGAAGAGATCTCATCTCGCGTGATGTCGTTTGGAGATGCCGGACGTCATCGCGAGTACGCGTGATAGCCACGACGAATCATAGGTAGGTTTGTCACGTGTGTTAGAGGATTCGGAAAAGGATTTCGCAGGAGCCCCCTAAGGGGAGGCCAGCCTTAGGTTAGTTCGCCGGGGGTTTCCCCTGAAGTGAGCGTACTTTTATAAACTTTGTCGTGTACTAATCCTCCGCCCGGGTCTGATCCCCTAGCCAACTACGCCGGGGCTCTCCAATCGACCGCCGTGGCGCCGAGAAACTTCATCAGGTCGTCATTTCGCGTTCCAGAAGAGCGAGAGCTGACGGGCAAGATGGAGAAAGAAAGTCGATCCCTACTTAGGTGCTCGCCTTTTTCTTAAGACGAGTGGCGGCTGCCGCCGCCCATCCGCCCACCCATAAATTGGATTACGATACGTGACGTCATTAGCGGCATGCTTTATTTGCGGGCCACGACGCTCTACGAGTTGCGAAGTTGAACGACGGCGCGCACACGCTGTCAGGATTGTTCGGAGTCCCGCGTAATTCCCCGGGAAGAAACTCGGACGGATTAATTCTGTTTTGAAATCAAAGTTTGCTGAAGATTAAAGTTGAAAAGTGCTCGATTTTCGTCGGAGCAGAAGTAAACATCGCGACGAGACACACGAAGACGGAGGTGGGCGCGTCGCGACCGACGGTAGGAGTGCCAGGGCGAATCTTGCGAAAGTTCCACGCGACCGGAGGAAATCGGGTGTTATTTTTATTCCGTGGGAAGATCGCCGCAGCTTCCTGGTTTTTAATTAGCGCCGGGTAAAAAAGGTCCACCGGATAACCGAGGGCGAGCGGTTACCCTGCTAGGATTAATAAATTAGCCGTAAGGTTTTAAAACGGCCACGTCGCTGGTTAAGCTCAGGGGTGGAAGGAAAAAGTGAGGGCGGTAGGTGCAGAGAGAGGGAGAAAGAGAGCGCGAGATGGAGAAAGAGAGAGAGAGAGAGAGAGAGAGAGAGAGAGGGAAAAAGGAGCGAAGGGGCAGATAATGGTTCCGGTCAACAAAATGAATACCGGCACGCGCTGTTCTTTCCGGATGTCTGAATAGACTTGTAACGAGTCGGTCAGACCTGCCTTCACCCCCTACTTTCCTCCCGTTCTTCTCTCATTCTCCTCCTCTCTATCCCTCGTCCACCGTATTTCTCTACCTCTTTCTCGCCCTCAGATCTTATCCTCTCCTCCTCCCCCCGCCGCGATACCTCCCTATCGTTTCTTTTTCCCTGCAGCGCGCTGTAATGGAGCAGTGTGAGTCGGAGGGAAGAGAGAAAAGAGCGGAATCAAGGGGTGAGAACGAGGACGAGCGCCGGTCACCGAGGGTGAGCCCGTGGTCGCGTTGTAATTGTGTTATTTTGTAGCCATTTCACGTGAGGGTCTGCGGAAGGGGTAGACGTGTATATAAACACCGAGATTGTTTTATTTCGCCCGGCTCTCTCTTTCTCTCGCGCGCGCGACACGCGCCGAGACTCTCGCCCAGCCGCGGAAAACATCGTCGCCGTCGTCAAGATAATCGGGGCGAATTGAGCGGCCGTCGGTCGCACTAATTATTAACTCGCCGTCAAAGGTCGTTGATCAGCGCAATTGGGTATTCACGTGTAACGGATGAACATTCGCGCAAGCCAATTAACCCCGAAATGGGAGCGCTCGTCGACAGTGACACCCGAATTCGATGCTCCAGATTCTACATTGAGTTGACTTGCGTCCTGGCGTTGTCAAATTGATATTAAAAAATTCCCCCGTTTGCGCCTCCTCCTCATCGACGCTCGATTGTTTCGCTCCGTCTCAGAGGTTCCAAGAGGCGTCTCTTCGCCGCGCGCCATGCCTGACGTAACGTCGAGATATCTCGCCAACGAAGGCCGACGTAACAACGCCGTCTTAAAACAACGCGCAACGATATAATTAACAGCGAAAAATAAACGCCCGGAGAATGCAGCGACGGCTGCTGGTGTATGTGTGTGTATAATATATAAATTTAGTCGCGCGAGGTCGTGAGCGCGTTCTACCACGGGAATCTCCGATAGAGAGGCGACGTGCAACTGCACAAAACTCGATCGTGCAGGACAGTCGATGCGTATAATAGGTTCCCGGTTGCATACATTCCCTCGCCGCGCTGAATCGCACACTGGACACGCTGGATAAGGAAAAGACCGGAGGTTCTAAAAAAAGAGAACAGCTCGAGGAACAATCACAAAGTAGGTATTTACACACGGAGGCGCGCGCGGCGCCCTTAAAGGGAGGGTAGAGCCCTCGCGCGCGAGTAAAGGTCCTTTTTATGCGTGCGGTCGCAAAGGCAGCGTAAAATTGAGTTACAGGGCAGTTTATTTTTTTATTAGCCGGCTCGACCCCGCCGCGCGAACACGCGCGCGCGCGCGCGCGGGGGTCGGTCTTTCTCGACGCGGAAAGGGTGGTTTTTGCGGCCGACGGATTTCCCGATAGCGGTTTTATGGCGTGTCAACACGCTCTTACGCGCCCGCGTGTGAGCGCGCGCGGCGAATAGAAAAAAAAAATAAAATAAAAAGGTCGCACGCGATCGCCACGCTGAATCGAAGAGATCAAGAGCGACATTCTCGGCGGCGGTGATGGCGGTGGCGGCGGCGGTGGCGGCGAGAGGGACGGAACGCTACACCGGGGTGAAGAAGGGAGATGGGTTCCCGATTAAAACCCCCGGCTTGACCGACTCCGGTATGACTGTATCGCCGTCACGCTGATAAGTGCGCGATTAATCGGGACCATTTATCACGTCGCGCGGTTTTACCCGGGATTTCGCGACAAGGCGAACTATTTCGGTTCACCCGGTCCTCTGACTGACAGTTGGGTCATCATGGATCATTTGCATTCTTTCCTTCTTTCTCCCTTTCTCTCTCTCTCTTTTTTTTTTTTATTATTCACAATCGCTCGAGGATTGTTATCGGGATCCATCACCGCTGCAACTCTTGGCGCTCCCCGTCGCCTCCGTTCGGCGGGCGTAGAGTCAAACGCGGCAGATTGAATTCTTGAAAGCGATCATCCTCGCACAGCCATCGGCCGGAGAAAACGTTAAGGGGATAATGAGGACAGGCAGCCAGGCGCAGGGTGGTAATAAGGTGGCTTGGAGCGGCTGGGATGCTAGTCACGTTTCCAGCCGCTGACAGCTGCGGCTTATACGTATGACGTGGTATCAACCCCAAATTTCCCCGACTAGACACGTCGTGTCTTCGCTGCCCTAAGACCCTGGAATGCACTCGAGCCTCCACCTGTCACACCACGGCGCATCTACGGCGTGACGCGCGCGAGGGTGGCACTTTGATTCTTCTCGGAAGAAGGATCGCGTTCACTCCCTCTCATCATACGTTATACACATACGCTCTCTCTCTCTCTCTCTCTCTCTCTCTCTCTCTCTCTGGTTGGGTCAAACCACCAAATCAAATTAATTTCATTGACGTTGACCACGTAAGCAGCGGTCAGAAGTGTCTGAGCGCGGTTGGAATGTGCCGTTACGTCTCCTCGCGACGTGTACTTGGCCAATCTGTTACATAGCTTCGCGAAAACGTTACGTTTCGCGCGATCAAGGCAGATTGCACGACGGCAATCGATGTAACAAAGAAGCGAACGGAAGAGCAACGACGAGAATGAAATGGCTGTATCACAGGACGTGGAGAATAATTTTGCTCGAAGAGACCTTGATTTCAGCATTTGAGTCATCACCCCTCGCTTCGTAATTATTGATTTTCCGCGCTGCCCTAACTCCCCTAACTTCATAGAGAGTAAGACAGAGAAAGCGAGAGAGAAAGGGAAAGAGAAAGAGCGAGCGAGCGAGACAGAGAGAGAAAGAGAGAGAGAGAGAGAGAAAGCAAGGGCGAGAGAGCGAGAGGGTGAAGAACGGCGTAAGCGAGAGAGTCGAAAATGCCTTTTGTCCCCTCTCGTAACATATAACGCACGAGCGGTAACCCTACACTCTGCGACTTACGATTACTATCTTCGTCAATAATTCCAAGAGATTCCAACACACACGCGCGCGCTCGCGGAGATTTAAAAATGACGCAGCAGAAGAACTGCATCAACGTTGTTATCATCGTCAGTTTAAACGCGTGAGTCCCCCTTGGAGCTCGGTACTGAATAAAATTCAGTGTCGAGCTGCTCATTCAGAGCTGCTTGTAATTTATTCAATTAACTCTATCACACCCAATGTCAGCGACGATGTGGTTCGTCACTTTCTCTCACATTCGGCTTCCTCTCTACGTGCGCCTTACGACTGACTGAACTCGAAAGACCGTGCGCGATCGACAGTACGTCACAGGGACATCAGTCGCAACGTTAACATCGGTCGGAGGAGACAACTGGGCATCGTATCGATCACGCCCGAGAACGCGACGAACAAGACATGGAAATCCTCACCTCTGCCGAGACTGGACGGAGACATGGACATTCCCGGCCTGCCACTGTCGAAGGCACCGGGTCTCTCCGGCATTTTCATGACGCTGTCAGGCTGGCCGCTCACGGAAGGCACATCGGCGGCGACGGTCGGACTGGACGTGGTGGTCGTCGTCGACACCGTCGTGATGGTTATACTAGCGATACTGTTTGCGCTCGGGTTTCCGGCGGGATTCGCGCCACTGCCGCCGTTATTAGCACCGTTACCACCGCTTGCTTTGCCGCCGACCCCGTTGTTGCTGTTCGCGCTCGCGTTGTTGACGTTGCTCGCACTGCCGTTGCTCGCCGTGCTGCAGCTGCTCACAGCGGCGACACTGACCACCCCTTCCCTCGCGATATCTTGAATCGCACTGGCTGCTCTGGAGCCAACCCCCGCGGGCTGGAGGATCGTATACTGCTTGGAGGAGTCGGGGCTGGTGACGGAGGGTAGGCCGCCGCTTGGGCTCTTGCTGGGCGACACGGAATTCGAAGTTACATCGTGAGTCGTCACATGATGACCTTCCTCCTTCGACGACTTGAGCTGCAGCAACGACACCGTGGACGAGTGCTTGTCTTCCGACGCGGGCGAGATGCCAGCCACAGGCTGCGGCGTCGGCATCGTTGGTCCAGGCGTCGGATAGCCCACGAAGGTGGCGGAAGCCGGGTAAGGACCGATCGGAGGGATCGCCGAAGAGGCTACTGGCACTGAAGAGGCGCTGCGACACGGTGCCTTCGTATGGTCGGTGTTAGGCGGCCTGAAGGCAGACGTCGCCGAGAAGGGAGAGTTCGCTGGCGGTGACGAGGACGACGAAGTCCCCGTAGGCGAGACTTTCATGCTGCCATCGTTGTATTGTCTCTGATAACTTGAATAAAGCGGCTGATGCTGTTGCTGGTGGTGCTGTTGCTGTTGTTGTTGCTGCTGCTGTTGCCTGACGATGCTCGGAGGCGACTGACCGTTCTTGCACGTTCGGTCACGTTCTCTGTCGTTCAGCCTGTCCCGGTCACCGTCGTCTTTGTCGGCAGTCGGATCCGACATGTCGATTTCTAGTTCGTTGGACGAGTCGTCCACCAGCTCGTTGAAATCCGGCGGGTCGTATCTCGAGTATTTGTCAGTTTGCCTACCCTGAGAGTCGATATGTGCGCCTACCATGCTCCTGTCGTTCCTCTCTTTGCTCGACAACGAGCGAACGGAGATCGGTCGGATTTTCGGCGGTTCGTTCTGACTGGCGTTGCTCACCTGAGACTGAATGCATTCGTTCTCTATCTTTAGCAGATTGTCCAGGTCCTTCTTGGTTTTCACCGGCTGCTGCAATTTCGAGTCCTGCTGTCTGTTCTGCAGTTGCATCTTATTCGACCGGTCTTGCTGGCCGCGAAGGGTAATCACGTCCTTGAGAGAACAACCGGTGTCGTTGCTCGTACTCGAAGACGTCGACACCGACGAAGGCGACAGCTTTGGATTTTCCTTCTTCTCCTCAAAGAGATTCTCAAAGTTCGACTCGTATCTGTCCTCGTCCGAGTTGCCTCTCTGATACAAGGAACCTCTGGGGCCAGGCCAACTGCCGGACAAACTCTTCAGGGCGGCCTCTGTCTCCCTTATAAGAGTCTCATCGTCCTCCGGCTCCTCGCTGTGCTTGCTGGACTTTCTGGCGGGGCTGCCGCAGTTTCCCGACGCGAACGCACGCTTCTTCTGCGGCAGCGGTATATTTTTGTTGGGATCGGCCGCGTCGATCGTCTTTCGCACGTCATCGTCGCGGACGCTTTTCCTCCTCCGCTTCGCGGCCGCGTCAGACGACTCCATCTCTTGCGGCGCGTTCGTCTGCAGGCCCTTCTTGTTGATCAACAATTGCTGCTGTTGCGACTGTTGCTGCTGCGTTTGCTTAGGGTTCTGCGCGACCGACTCTGCTTCCAGCTTCCGCTTTTTGAGATGAGCCATCGCATTCTGTCCGCCCGGCACGCTGGTCAGTTCCACCCTGGAACACAAAAATTCCAGAGGATCAGCAAGTCCGCGCTGCTGCCGTATGTGGGCGCAGTGAGGGACGCGCAGTGTGCGTTCGGTACACGAGAGTGCAACCGGTCATTCGAGGTTGGCGCGGCGAGCCAACGACAGAGATGAGGCTCACCGCTCGCTCAGCGTCCGCGCCGTTCTTTCGTTGCGGAAGACAGCCAGCGCCTGCCCCAGCTGCCTGCCTCTTCTCTTTCTCTCTCCATTTTATCTACTTAACAGCGCATTCAAAGTCTAAGGGACCGTCTCTCAAGAGAGTTCACCTGACATCCGCAGAGGGTCGTCGGGCGCGTCGCCGCGGGTCCGGAGGGTCATTCCGTGCAGCCGATGTGCGTCCGTGTCTCTCCCTCTCGCTCTCTCTCTCTCTCTCTCTCTTTCTCTGTGTATTTCTTTCTCCGCTCTCCTGGTGAACGATCACTCTTTCGCTCTTTGCGTGTATTATTTTTGCGTTTATACTTTCTTTCTTATAAACTCTATTTTTTTTTGTTTCCTATAGCGAGGCACACTCTATGTATCTTGCTTCGTCCTTGCGACGGACTCGAGATGATTTCGACAGACACTGCGCGACACGCACGCGCGCATGCACACAGCGAGGACACGCGTGCTCGACAAACCACCGATTCTATATATATATGTATATATATATACGTATGTGTGTATATATATATATATGTACACACATATATATATAGGTAACAAGTCCGGCTCGTGTGCGCGATGGTCCCTTTCAGACAGGGCGCTCGCGAGCTACTGTGCTATGTTTAAGTTCGTTCGGGGGTGGCGATCTTCCGTCGCGCACGGAGGGGATGAAGACTTGCGCGGGCAGCCGGCGGCTTCTGCTTCGTCGCGAAAAGTGGGGGCGGGTTCTGCGCACTGTCCACCCCCTTGAGCTTGGCTGGAGCACGATTCCCAGCCCCTCTGCACATCCCCTTGCTCACCTCAACCCCCTGCTTCTGATATCGGAGAAGGGGACTCGGTTCCTGGGTGCACACCTAGGAGTCTCTGGCTCTCTCCCTCTCTCCCTCTCTCTCTCTCTTTCCCTATCACTCTCCTTCTTTCTCTCTCACAGTGTGTTGAGGTACGTGCTCCGTACACCTCTCTCCCCGATTATATCCACCCGCATCTATACTACCACCAACCATCCATCCATTTGTCTGTCCGTCCGTTCGTCCGTTCGTCCGTCCGTTCGTCCGTTCGTCGGTTCGTTCGTTCGTTCGTTCGTTCGTTCGTTCGTTCGTTCGTTCGTTCGTCGTTCGTTCGTCCACCCGCCCGCTCGACCCTCTTACGGGCCCCCGCACTTGCTATATGTATGTACATACTACCTGCTTCTCTTTGCCGCCTTAGGAGGCAACATCGGTACCCGGCCAGCGACCTCGCGGCTCTACCCCTCTCCCCTTTTGCGACTCGCGAGTTCTTCGTGTAGCCGGCTTTTGCACTAGGAGGGAAGTCAAATCTCCGCCGCCTTTACCAGAAATAACTTCACTCACGGCATATTCGCGTGCATTTTCTCTTCGTGCATTTTCGATTGACGATAAAGCCGGCCACCGGGGCGAAGTGCGAGATCATTGCGGCTTTGTGATTAATTAACGGCGCGCGTGATCTCACGAACGGAGAACGCACGTATGCGCGATGCTTGCGCAACAAATCTCCAGTTAAACGGTGCTTACATATCTATGCATTAAAGATCAATCGCTCGCGATTGCAGGTAGTAACGAGATTTCTTTTTCCAACACATCACTTGATTCATCTCACGTCATTCGAGTCCCACTCGAATCTGACGGCAAAATATCGCGACGGGCTCCGCATCACGTAATAACTCATTCGCCTCTTCTCCCTCTGTGCGTTGACTTGTAAGACTTTAGCCCTTTAACTGCGCAACGTTCGCCCTTCGGTGCGCTACACGTAGAAGGTTTGCTAGCGATAGGAGGAACCTACAACTGGAATTAGATAAACCCGGGCTGCCGGAGGTGGCGGACGCAGAAGAAGAGCGGGATCAGCGTCAGCGCTTAGCGGAGCTCCCTAGGATCCCAAGGAACGAGAGAGCTTCCCTTAAACCTTAAACCCTCCTCAGACCACGTAGCCGGGAGTTTAGAGCGACGAACTCCTGCTAGGGACCTGCGGTGGGAGGACGGCGGGAGTGCCCTCGTCCAAAATCGGAAGTTAAATCGCACCGACGGCTTAAGACATTATCACTTTTCTTTGCGGGCCGATGCCCTTAGAACTGGCCTTCGACAGTGAGAAAGCGGGGAAGAACGAGCCGTGCCGAGCCGAACGAGAGCAAGAGCGAGGGACAAGGGGTATAGGAGGGAGTGCAGGAGTAAGAAAATGCGAAGCCGGAATCCCTTCGAGTTGGGGATCGATGCGTCCTGGCCCACCCTCCAATTACGTGTCATCCCTTACGGTCCATGGGGAATAATTAGAAAGCAAGCGTGGCTCCCTAGTACGAGCGAATAGCCACAGATGTGCTGCGTAAAGGTTGACTTTAAATTCGCGCGAGAAAAGCTCCATCGCGACGACACGCCGTCGAAGTCTCCGCCGTCGGCGGCCAGCCAGCCAGCTAGCTAGCTAGCTGCGAGAGCGTCTCTAATGTCGCGTGAAGTATCGAGTGCGCCGTAACTATCGCGCGCTCGCTAGAGTTACTTCGCTCGTTAAGGCGCCTTCGATATCACACGTGCGCTTTCCGCCGCCGGATAATATAGGATTTCAACGACACGCCGCGCTCTCTGCGACACGACAAATTGTTACCGTGCTCGCCCGCCGACTTTACAAATGTAACACGAGCGTTCTCGTCGGGCTGTAAAGAAACGTGACATGTACGTAGCGAGTCGACTATTATTACGGGGCGTGTGTCAAGTGTCAACCGGATAGATGCACACGGTGTTAAGCCCAAGCGAGTTGATTCGCGAGTTCGTCGAGTCGGCCAAGTTTTTCTGAGACTTCCCGGCAGACGCGAGAGAAGGCTGCCTGAACAGCCGAGATCTGTGCTCGTTAATTAATTAACATGTGCCGGCCGTGGTGCGACGTAGGCAAGAGGATGGTTAGACGGAAACACGACGACGCGAAGCGGACGATGGTGCCTCCATCGTGGGGATTAGGGTATTAGGCGACGTCACGTCACTAAAGTCTAAAGGAGCCTCCTCGGAACTGTGCTCGGGGAGATAGCCGAAACTTGCGCTTCTCTATCTTCCTAGCGGTTCTTCGGATTCTGCCTCTCGCCCTTTCCGCTTCCCTTCCTCCCCGAATCTCCCTCCAGCTCTCTCTTTCTCTCTCTCTCTCTCTCTCTGACTCTTTTCTCTCTCTCTCCTCCTCTCTATTTCCCGTCGTCTTGCCGCTTCTTCTTCCATCTCGCTCACTCCGTTCGCGTACATACACGCGAACCCTACCTCCTTTCTCTCCTTTCTCACCCTTTCTGGTTCTCGGGGTATTCCTCCCTCTCCCTTGCCCTTTGCGTCTATCTCTCCCTCGTTCTCTCTGTCTTTAATGTCCTTCGCCAGTCCTAGGGCTAGTCTCCTTCTTCAAGACCTCGACAATTCCAATTAGATAAACCACCGGCAGATCACAGCCCCTTAGCGGTCGAGGTCGAAGGCACGCGGCGGTCTGTCTCATCGGCTGCGGATTTGCGTCAGGTCGGATACGCTTTAGGAATATCGGCGTTAGCGTGTAACGGAGTTCGATCAGGCAGACGGAACAGTCCGCTGAGTCCGGACCACGCGATTGGAGTGGTGAGGCACGATGACAGATCGTCGGCGAGATACCTGCGGAAGTGATGATGATGACGATCTCAATGTCACGCAATTCGCAACGAGCTGCTTCGCAACTGCGAAAATCGCGCGCTGAAAACTTCACCGCGGCGCTTGTCGAGGGTGTTCTCGAGGAAAGACGGTCATACGTCTTTTTCTCGCCGACGTGCGAGGGTGGGCGAGATCGGCGCTAGGCGAGCGCCGGATAATTTAGGGGTCTCTCACGCGTGGATAATGGGGAACTTGGCTAATGCACCCCACTTGGCACCACGTGGATTCGCGTGAATTTTGCGATTCGACCTTTACGCCACCCTCGTTCGCTGCCGCTAAAAGGCCGCCTATGAAAACAGTGCGACCAATGTCTGATTGTTGCGATTGACAGAAAATTGGTGATTTGTAACTCTCCTTGTTCATTAGGACTGCAGTAAAATATTTAATTATTATGTCATATACGCGTTATCAATCTATAGCTTCTCCTAAAATAATTAATCTAATCAAATATTTATCTTTATTATCTATTATTATATTCTATATTAGTATAATCTATTATACAATTATTAGATTGCATTATATATAATCTATTATTATTATCTTTCTTATTTATTATCTCTTTTCTCAAAATTAAGTTTTTTTATTTAATTCTTTCTATAAACCGGTAACTATAAACCGTGAACATAAATTGATCAAATTGATTTATTTTAAGTTGAGACTGAACAGGTGAAAATTTCGTGGTTATTAGGTTTTTTTGCCTACATGGGAGCTCGATTTCCAACTGCTATAATCCAAATACAACTAGTGCTCCCCTATTGAAACTACCATTCCGCTTCTACGTTCTACGTTCTTCTACGTTCGTGAGCATCTTTAGCCGAATGAATTAATGATAGAGAATAGTTTCGACGCGCACACTGTCTAGTGGAAAAAGCTTTTCGTTAACGACGCGATAACGGTAACCCTCTTAAACTGCGTCGTCTTTACGAATCTTGTCCTCGAAGTTAACAACACCGGAATTGGTTTTATTTCCAAACTGAGCTTCGAGAGAGACGCCACTGTTACTCGCTCCTCTACAGTTGCCTGCGCGACGGAGAAAAGCAAGAGGGGGAGTGAAAGGGGGCAAAACAGACGGAGAGGATTTTAAAGCGAACTCAGGTTACGACTACGTCGGTGAAAGAAGAATGCTGTGACTGGGACAGCTGAGCTGTCCGGTTGGACATCATTCCGCCGTTCGGCT